CATGCTTTTAAAAATATTTCCAAGTCACAAAAGTGATCACGAGGTCCGTTCACAAAGACAGATAAAATCTAACTCCTCCACATGCCTTCGGAATCCTTTCTTTCCTTATTCAGAAAATATCACGTTGAATAACCTTGCAAAGACATGGTTAGAATCTACAACAGCTTTCTGAGAAATTGTATTTGCAATACCTGTTATCTGTGACAGCTGCCAGACCTGCAATATCCAAAATCATACACGAGTCCACAGACCGAGGAGAAGGTTTATGGGGGTTATGAGGAACGGAAGAGCCTTCATGGCAAAGCATTCCTGTGCCCATCATTCTCCAAAGCTGGGATCGTTTTCCTGGCTCCTGTTGCATAAAAATTCAACATTTAAGTGAACACAGCAGTACAGAGCAAATATTTCTGTTCTGTTTTGCTATCAGATGCTTTGAATTATAATTCTTGGAATGACTTGTATATATTTATCTTCAGAGCCTGAATCAGAATTAGGAACTAGTTTGTACAATAATTTCCAATTCAGCTCTGATAGTCAATGAATATGCATCTTATGTTAGCATTATTAGAGGTAGAGCTGTATTTACAAGATATTTTTAATCTCAGTAATATGTAAATACAGTTTCTATTTCTTAAGAGCTCCAGAAATAGAAGACTTGGCTTACGATGCAACCATGCCCTACCCTGTACTTCATTAGAACCTTCAACATACAATTACCACACTTGGTTGTCTTCAGAGGCATTTACAATGTTTCGTACCACTTTTATACCAATTCTCTTTTCTGTCATCCTTACCCCCACAGAAGTCTTACATAGAAGCACCACCATAATTCAAGTAACGTGAACTGCAATAACCTGTTGCTTTCAATGGAGTCTGTCTGCACCCTTTAAAAGTTAACATGAAAATGGTTTTATTATTCCCTTCTCCCAGCATATGATTCTACTTCAGCACATAGCAACAGGATTTTAATAAAACTGAATGTATCTTGGTACCTTCTTTTTCAGAACAACTCGTTGAGTCTTTGGAGAAACATCAAGGACAAGCTCTGCATATGCAGCATCTTTATTCGAAGCAACTGGTCTTACACTTGGCTCCTGTAAACTGGAACATCAAGAAAACATCACCATGTTTGTTCAGAGTAGCTGCTTCCTCTATAGATCGAATTAGATCTGTACTAAAAATCCAATCGAGGAAGCTTATGCTTCCAATATAGCCAATCAGACAAAAATTTATATTGAGGTTTTTTCCCTCCTGTTATTTTCAGAATTATCAGTGTAAACTGTCCATCTCAGCACATTCTTTAAAAGGGGCTTTGATTTCTCACTGTGACTAGGAACTTCGCAGGCAGATCAGATGAATTCCAAAGAAAATTTTATCCCTTTCATTGAGGAAAGCAACAAAGCATGTATCAATCTCCTGCAGTTGTTTTCAACAGCATATAAACCAGCGCAAGTTTAAAATTCACAGGCATGTGATAAACAGGTATGTCCTGTGTCACGTGTTCTTAATACACCAAACGAAACTAAGCCCCCAGACGTGACCCTAAATGTCTCTGCTCTTCTAAGATCAGCCAGTGGAGTCACAGCAGATGCCACATGCTAAGTCTTTCTCACTATGTGACAAAGTAAACAATGGCAACCTGCACCAACAAAGCGAAGTCACCACATCCAAACCAGTAAAATATACAGCTTACTGATGGCCAGGCTCAACTGCTGAATTTTGGCATTTCTCCTGCTAGCTACAAGGTTGGCAAAAGTCTAGCTGCATTTGAAAAAACTTTCAAACAGTAACCATTAAGAGAATATTAACGTAAAGCCTAATGAACACCATGAACATTCAAAATATTTTCATCTAACATACAAAGAATTACCCTGAGAAAGTATAGGCAGCAGCAATATAAATGAAGTTTTCATAGTAAAGCTGCTTGCTATCTTGCAAGTCATTCATGCTACAGATGATTTCCGAGGAGCCTGCCCCTTTAACTGTCACCATTATAAAAGGTGGTAGAACAGGTTCATCCCATGCATAATCCAGAGAGGTCATGGGCTTCACTTCAGTGTATAGTCTGGGCTCGACAACACCATGCTGATTAAAAACGACTGGGACCTGTAACAGTTATGAGAGAGGATTTAGTTTCACACAGAAATTGTTAACCAGAGAGATTTTTTGCTATCATTTGTTCATTTTTCAGGAGCTGACCACTGAAACATGTTCAGGTCACTTTTTTTTCCCCATCCCAATGATTTCAGAGGCATTTTCTTCCATTTGAGACTCGATTAAAGATAGTCTCAAAGGGATAAGAAATGTTATCTTTATCTGTCACCTGTGGTTCAAAATGTCCTTAGTCCCATGGTAGCATCCCAAATCCTCCTCATCAAAATTAGGAGGCTTGCCCAGTTCTATTTAACAGTTTAGTACCAAAATCCAGAACAAGAACCAATAGCTATTAAGAGCTCTGTCTCTTGCTCCGATCACGAGGCAGTCAGTAAGTTACTGTCAGACACGCAAAGTAAATTGTCTGGTTTTTATAATCACTGACATGGAAGCCCAAAGACAGAGAGAAAGGAAGTGGCAGCAGTAGCCTGAATTCTTTTTACAGGTTATTCAAGTTCTGAAAATAACACAGAATAGATTAAAACTATCCCCCAGCACAATTTTCTCATCAGTAATAACGCTCTGTCAGATTTTTAATACACTCATGAAAGTGACAATGTTAGCACTATTGAACAATATGAAGTAGTTGAGTACTTCGAATTTATACTAAAACTTCAGAAAACTACAATTATTATACACAAATGCCTCTTGCTACACACACTTCCATTTTATTTCATTACACAAGCCAGTCATTTCCCTCTTCTAACAAATACAAAATAATTCCTACTATACTTTTTTTTTACTAAAAAATAAAACAAAAAAAGTGATTTTTTGCTCTTTTACCTTGGAGAAATTGTCTATGCGGAAAGGTGGTGGTAACTGATCTGTGTCACTGAACGCAATGTGGTATGTAGCTCCCTGCAGAGTAATTTCTACTCTTAAGAAGTAACATTTTCCCAGGGTGTCCCTGAACAAAAACAAAGAAATGCAGCAGAGGTAGGCTTCTGATCTGTTACCCCCAATCCTAAATGCTAAACAGCTGCTTCCATCAAAAAATGGAAGCACACTACAGAAGATCTATATATAATAGCTACCTCATATTAATATGGAACGAGTTATTTTTGTTGACTTCAAAGCCCCCAGACCAAATGCAGTTCGGGACATCCATTAGTCTGATTGGATGTTCCCTAGCAACAGAAATCGGTAGAAACATATCCTATAAGTATTAAAAAATACAATATTAATCTATATGCCACTCCAATACGAACACAGTAATTACTCCGTTAGGTGGATGCTGGTGTTAGAATAACGAGAAAGAGCCTCATCACCAGCCAATGACACTTCCAAGTATAATGTTTGTGTTTGTTTTGGTTAGAAGATGCTGTGACCAACTACAGGTATGGTAACAAGGAACAGCAAGGAAGCAGCTTACCCGACCTCTGGCGAACTCCCGCTGAACAAAGGCAAGCTTGTAGGTTGATTTATTATCTAACAGGTAACGGGGTGCAAATGTTACCATGCATGTATCAATATAACGGCCTCTACCTTTTTTAACATCAATACCTAGTAATAAAAACAAGTTAAAAATAAAGCTATTATTTACAAGATAAAAGACAAGACCTGCCACAACACATTTCACGTAAGTTCTTTTTCTTGGGTTCCTGAGATGTGCTGTTTCTGCCTTACCACTGCTATATTTTAAAACACTATTTTAAACAGTAAACGTAATTTTATGCCATCTGTTACCCTTTATTTCTCAGGTACAATTTGGAGATCGTAAGCACTGCAGATAAAAACCCCTATTTTCCAATCACAAGTAAATCCACCGAAGTAATTACTCCACTTTTAAACATATGAAAAATTCCTCCAAAATCACTGTGGAGTAACTTCCAAACTCTGAAAATCTATCCTGTCATGCAATTAAATACCAGAAATTTCCAAATAAATTTACTTTAGGTACCCCAGGAGCGCAAGGCAGACAGACATTGCACTCCTCCACGTCAGCCTACAGAGGCATTACACAGCAAAAACTACAGGAGCAGCACACAGCCGAACGGTTACAGGATACAGACACTCAAACTTATCAAACACAGTTAACGTGGTGGGATTTCAAATGTACTCAGAAGTAACATCTAGGGGGAATAAAGACAAAGAAAATCTAGTTTTTAAATGCAGTCATTAATACTCAATGATGAAATGTAAAACTAAAAATAACTGAAAAATAATTTTTAAGCTAATGAAATTCTAAACAAAGATGTAAAAATACTTCTAATAGTATTTTTTGTTTAATAATTTTCTCTGGACCCTCAAAATCCTTACAACATACGTTTGCCTGCTGTAACCATTCCGTTTCTGGTGTCACTGACACCACGTCTTACCAAGTGCTACAGTATTTCTCAGGTGCTCCTACCAACACCTACCGATGTTGTAAATGAGGCCTGGCCGGTTCCCATGCTGGATCACTTTAAGGGCTCTGACACCACTACCACCGTCCAGGGAGAAACCCTGGCACCAGCCAGGCATACCTTCAGGATGGATCCCTTTGCCAACCCGCATTGTACAACTAAGGGTAAGAAAAAAAAACAAAAATGTACTCTTTAAATGAAGGATCAGCTATCAACACGATGATGATGACAGTCACATACCCAGATACAAAAAGAACATCTGTGGTTTAATGTAAAAGCATTAGAAGCCACAATAAATCTCTTCTTAATTCATTCTGCATTTCTGCCATAAACTCTTTCAACATATTGATCAAGATTCAGCGACCATTTCTTTTCAAAGGTTTGGTAATTTTCAGACTGATTGACCACAACAACCTTTGTGTGTCTTTTTTCTTTGAAAGAAAAAAGAAAATTTGGAATAATTTTTTGTGATAAATTTATCTGTTATTCATTTGAGCAAAAATCCCAGAACATTTCAGATAAATTTACTTTAAATCAATGTTCTGTTTTCTTATTTTCATGGAAAAACCAAGTTCACCCCTTGATGCCCGTTAAAGGAACTGAAAAGTTTCCTCTCTGAAATCCTATCATTTCCTTCTACATCCAAATCACCGACAGCTCTGCTGCGTGTTGTCTTCCTACTAAGGGACTGCTACTACTTCTCTATTAACATTCAGACGTTAGGATTAGGGGCTCGGAGTGGGGTTTTTTTACTGGTAACAAAGTAAATTATACAACTTGGTAAGTCTCTTCAAAAAGCTTTTTGATTTTCTTACAAAAGAAGCCCGAGTTCAAAACATGCAAAATAAAACCAAAGCAGCCTGCGGACACAACAGAACGTGCCAACCAAGGAGTTTTCAGTAGGAAATGTCTGAAGATCCAATACGCTTATTTCAGTATTTAGAAACTTAATAACAGATCATCTTAACAGGAAAGACTCGTCCTACGTGATATTCATACTAGTGTATCAGCACCCAATCCTCTGCAAATTACTTTCACGCTTTGTGAAGTTCCTCCTGTCTGCTCTGCCTGCGGTATTTACTTACAAGTTTGGCTGTTCTTTGTCAGCGTAACAGAACAGAAGTGGGCTGAGGCTCCTAGCAAGCTCGTGCTCTTCAAACTGACCTGCAGCATCGGTTTTTGCATTATCTTGCCTGAAGATAAGTGGCAATCCTTTAAGTAAACACAAAAAAATGGAGTGTCAAACTACATTTCATCTTTGCACAAATTAAAATCAGAATGGTAATAACTACTTCAAATCACGGAACAATCTAAAATACTTCAGCTGTAGTATTAGCCACCAGTCTGCACGCATTCTCCCTCTCGTTCTCTGTCTAACCTGCTTAACAGCTGCGAGCCACGGAGGTCTGCTCCATGCAGAGAAGGAGTTCTAGCTCTAAGAGTGCCAATGGATGTTAACATGAAGTAGCTGCAATTTAGACCTGCTGCTTTCTCAAGGCACTTTAGTCTTGGAAAACCACAATTTTAACAGTGATATAACCTACGTGGATTTATTTAGAGGTACAATAGCTCATGTCTAAAAATCTGCAATATAGCAGTCTAAGTCATCTGTAACTTTGTCAAACAATAGCTGCTGGCACTGTAAAAAAAAAAAAAAAAAAAACAAAAAACCTGCAACTTTACTTCCTCTTAAGTAGTGTTTAAAAGCTCTGTTTCGCTAGAAAGCTAATCAAAACACTGCATGAAATCTTTATTTCCCAGTTCATGATTACAGCTGTGAAAGCAAATACTGTAAACTTACCTGTCTTGTTGATTAACCAATATGGTGCTGAAATCAGTATTTTTAGAGAACCTTCAGCACGACATACAATCCTTATGGTCAAATTTAGCAGTCGTTTGTTGACATCATACAATCGCATCCGCACCATGTAGTTTTGTGTCCCAGGAGGAATCAACAGCTCTTTGCAGATCGGGAAGTTTTCTAGCAATACCCCTGCAAAACCAAAATAAACCAAAATGAACCCAGACATCACCCATAGAGAAACATTAGTTTCTGATGAGCACACAGGTTGGCGTTTCATGTGGCTTGATTCTTCTGAATATTTCATATACCTTACCCGGATTAGCTTCCAAATCTGCCCAGTGTAGCAACCTGTAACCTCATGAACAAATGCTTCAATTTAAGTCACAAGCAGCAACAAAAGCTCTGTAAAGAACCCTGCGCAGGGCTAGTTACTGCTTTAGGCATCAGAAGTCCAGCCAGTGCCGAGTAATTCCATATGTACTCTCAACATGAACAACTTCTGTCAGAAAGAAAACAGCAAGAACACCCAGAATGGTGGCAACTTCTTTGATTTATTCCCTTCTTTATCACTGTTCTCTCCAGTTTCCACTGTTTCCACTCAGGAAAATGAGAAAAGAGCCGAATCAGACCAAGACAGCTGACAGACTTGGGGGAATGACAGCAATATCAGTATCTTTTTTGGATGCATGCACTTGGTTATTAACTATAAGAAGCCCTGCAACCCACTGAAATATTCACATAAATGTTTTCTATTTTTTAATTATTTCCATTCATATACCATAGTTCCTTGTAAAAGAAACAGTTATATTGAGGTACTCCTCTGTGAGGATCAGAAAGTGGTCTCTGAAAAAGAACCTTACCAAGCTCAATGTTCTGAGATGTATCGGCTGTGTGCAATGCTGCCTCTTTGCCAGGTTTTAACGTCCCATTAATTTGCATTCCTTTAACATAGAACTCAAGTTCACAAGGCAGCAAGTTACAGATTACCACCGTTGGCAAGAGGTAAATAGTATGCCCAGGCTGTCTGAAAATCTGTTTAGCACTGTCAGAAAATATGTTGGAGGGCATGTAATCCGGGTAATTTTCTTTCTTTATAGCCACACAGAACCTGTAAAGGCAGACGTATGCGAGAAGTCAATTAACTCAATGGAATAACTGAACCCTGTCTTTGTGTATTGCACTAAATCCCACAACATGCTATAACTTCAGGACTGACCGGAAAAATAGCATTTAGAATTGTTCTCCACATAATTAGTTCAGCGTCTGATTATAAGGTATTTTGTATGTATGCCTCACACTACAGCAACAGGTATTTCCTGATTTTAATCAAATTAACTTGGTCACTCAAAAAAACTCGTCTGTTCAAAGACCTAAGAGAAAATTGCTTTTATAGATTACCAACTTTAAGACCAACTTCCATAAACTCACCAAAACACATTATCAGCTGTTACTAAAAAGAGATTTTAACTACTGAACTTATAACCATATTCTTAAACACAAATGCTGAACACGTCCTTCTTCCTAGTAGATATATCCTTGCTTTGGCCACCTGACACTGCAGTTTTTCATTAATTAAAGGCAAAAAATTGAGTAAGTAAACCTTCATTTTAAATAACTTTTAAATTTACCTCCCTTCAAAAACAAAACTCATTCATTAAGAAATGAACTATGGAACTGACACACAGAAGAACTATATACTATGTAAACGTCATTTCCTGAAACAACTTCCATAATCCCTATTCTAGTATTTCCTAAATTCAGAGCATCCCTAAATCCATCATATCAGTTAATGACAAAATTCCATTAAGTCCTCACTATGCAGTGACATTTTGGGGCTTGGAATGGAGTACGGAATGTTCAGGACAAAGAATGAGTATCTGCAAACACACTATGGCAAACCACTCGTTTTTCTCAGTAAGACAGACTAGACAATTTAACATAAGACCACATTCTATTTTCCAACCTTTTCTTTTTTACAATAAATATTAATAGTGTGCCTACTTTGTATTCTCAGACATTTGCTAATAGACACTGTCAAAGGGGCTTCAAGGAGCCCTGAAGAAATACAGCAGTTACGCTTCAATGCCTGCTCATTATTCAACAGACCAAACAAAACGTCCCATTAAACTGCAGAAGCTTTCATCTCGAAGTATTTTCTTTCCTGTTACTTATTTCCAAGGTATTTCATTCATCAGAAGATAACACAGCTTACAGAGAAATAATTAGGTCTTAACTACCTGAAAAAACGGGTATTTTCAGACTCCATTGAATGACACTCTCGCTTGCTACTGCAAACTTCTGCTGTCTTCTGAACATCAGTCCAGTGAATTGGAGCCTTACAGAAAAAGACTCCCATTCCTTTTGGCCTGGCTTGCAAACGCCAAGATGTCAGATGTAATGGAACAGCAAAGGAATCTCCTGGCATAACTGCTGGAAGGACTACAGGTTCTGCAATCAGAGAATAAAACACACATACTAAACCGGCCCCTTTACTGAAAAGCATAAAATTTTGAAAAAGCAAGTCTCAAATTTTTGTATGCAACATGTTTCATTTTAACATAAACCACTAGCTACTTCATGTATGTTTCAAACACCAACCTGCTGTTTTAAGCCCTGTTAACAATCTGGCAGCAGGCAAATTTAGGTGTGTAAATCTGAAACTGGAAACAGACTCTAAACTTGCTGGAATTCAAATTCTTTTTCCTTGGATGCTTTAGTGAAAATGCTTATTTCAAAAAGACCTCATCCATAATATTTTGGGTGGATTATCAGCATACCGTTACATTTCTAGATTGTACCTTTGCATGCTAACACCTGAAACCTTCTAGACTACTGCTAAAAGATATAATATGCTACATACAGAAATAAGATTCAGTCTTTACAGAGTCTCAGCTTTCCCTGTTTACCTGAACAATAAGGAAAAATCCTGCCAGGTTTTCTAGCTTGCCCTGCTGATTACTTTCTGCTTAAGATTAGCCATTTCCCCTCCAGGGAGGTTTACTCTGTTGTGAACAGGCGGCAGTGAACCTTCCTGGGGAGGAAGCTAAAGATTCCCAGTAGCATGGAATACAACACCTACTGTCAGGAGCAGAAGGACTATCTAGTCTTAGTTCCATTGGCGTTTCCAGCTTGTTCTTCACCATCAAGGCTGAGCGTACTGTTATCACCTTCCGAGCACTACCTTCCATGGTAACTTCAAAGACCACACGAACTGGAGGCAATGAAGAAAACTGGAAGATATTTAAAAGCATTAAAAAGCTCAGGTAATGATTATACCTAGAAGAGGGACACCTCAATTCTGAAGCAGTAACTGCTGGAGTAAGAACTTGCCAATGGAGTCCAACCACGTGCAACACCTAAGGTATATACCATTTCACAATAATGATTTATAATCCTGTACCACCTCCTCAAAACAAAATAAAATTAACTATAAAAAAGCAATTCTAAATACTAACAACTCTATATGATGCAAGTTCAAGTAAGAGCAACACAGATCCTAAAAAAACACTTTATACACTATCTCACTATTACATTATTGTATAAATTCATGGAGTTTGAATTCCAAGCCTCATATAATTCAACAGTCACTCACCATTCCTATCCGCCTAAACTAAAAAACAAGCTGTAGTTTTCTAAAAATATTCATAATTTCTTCACTCTTACCTGCCCTTCTACTGTGGTGTTTTATCTCTTACATTATACAAAGTCATTGTCACTTTGATCCTGAAAACCACACTTTATATGGGCTCATGCTGGAATTCACATACTGGAATTTAAGACCCATTTCCAACCAAACATTTACATGGGTAAGGCATGGTAAGTCATGTTAAATACTTGTTCTAATTTGGAAGTTTGTTTTGTTTGCTTGACTTTTGTTTCCCTTCTATTGAAAAGGTTGTAGAAGAGTGGAAAAACCAGTTCACTTGTAGAATTATGCTAGTCTTATTTAAGTAGCTCTCAAAAAATGAAAATATATACTCACGTAGACTTGTGGATGTATTATATTTGTTCTACTTATTGGGCTTCCAAGCTGGGAAAAAAGTAAACAAGAAAGTTAGAATTGTTCAACTTTTAAGATATTACGCTCAGTTGTAATACAGAGCACTCTTACAGAAGAATAAAGTAAATACCTTCACCATTTTGTGCTTGTGATCTTTAACACAGCTTGGAAAACATGTCAGAACTATATTAGCAAAACCTGTTTGTAATACTGCTTTAAAAATAAACAAACCTGAAGGAAGAAGGCTTGTTGAAAAAAAAGAAAAAAGCGACAGAAGCTGTTCCTGAACAGCAATTCTCATTAATTTGCATCCTTTTCCTTCAAGAATCAAGTTACAGAGAGAGATGATGCTTTTATGCTTCAATAGGAAAACATCAGAAATTATTCAAATAAGAGACTACTGGCTCTGGTCAGCAGTATCATGAAATAAAATTCTAATCCTGTTTTATACCAAAAAGATCTCGCCTTCCAATTTCTCCGGTGCTCAACAATTTTCAGTAGCTAGTCTCAAAACTTCACCAGTTTTGAAATCCACAAGATCGTTTTTATCGTTGAGCCTCAGCTACCAACAGCCAGCCTGCTGATTATTACAATTGCATTTTTCCTTTATGACAAGTATATTTTGTCTAAGCAGCCACATATTTCAACAACCTCTACGCTTACAGGAAATTGCCAGTGCTGTTTATTTTAATTAAATTCAACACATGAGAAGCATTCCTGCAATAAAAGAAACAAAAGTAGCTGCTGAAACACTGTGCTGCTTTAAAGCTCAACCTGCGCAAGTCCATGACACTGTCAGTAATGCGTTTGTTCTGTCACTGGAAGCCCCGGCTGCTAAGCACAGTCTAACTGCTGACTGCTCTGCTTGGTTTTTTGTTATGCATAAAACTGCCAGTTAGGCAGTCAGCATCTCCAAACTCTCCCAATCCAAGCTAACTGGAAAGCAGACAATCAGCTGCTTTAAGATCAAAATCTTGAAGACACAATTGCTCTCAAATTACATATTCTGTTAAAACTAACACTCCAAATCAGAACTTACAGTAGAAGAGGATGAGTTCTTATCTGGTGCAGCATATCGGAAAAATGTTCCAACTTTGTCTACAGATACTGGACTGACTTCTTCCCAGCCATTTACTCTCACTTGCAGCTGATGAATTCTTAGATCATGTGTGTGCCTACCAGGTTAGATCAAGTGAAATTACTAATAAGCATTATTGTACAGTGTAAACACCAAACAGTTCAAACCAAGAACATCCTCCAGATTCTGAACAAAGAATCTCACTGAAGCATTAAGCAAAAAAAAGTCTCAAGAGTTTTTCCATTTCATGAATAAAGACAGACCTTATTCTACATCTATTATTCCACCTTCCCTAATGAACATACAGAAGTACAACAATGCCATACAAACAAAAATAAAAGCATGCTACATATACATTAAGTTTTTCTAGCTCTTAACAGTGATAATGCTCATGCTGAACAAACAATGCTACGCCCCCTGAGTCCTTTAGAATAAAGGACATATGACTTGTAGTTGAGGCCGCCAAGTCTCTAAAAGCTCATAATGATCCAGCACACATCTAGGAATGGCTGCCACCAATAGCAACATATTGCTAGCTGCTTCCGAGACAATTGATAATTTAACTCTATACAGAGTTTTAAATATTCAAACCCAAAACATTAACAGGAGATTTAAAAACATACCCACTTTTTAATGAAAATCTGCTAGTGTCCTCACAACTATGATCCTATGTGTTCCACACACAAGTGTGTCAAAACACAACTCTAAGCCCAGTGTCCCTTCACCTGTGTCTGAGTTTCCCTCTGGCTTCAAATTCAAATGGAACCTCTTCCCCGGTGATAACTTCTTGCCATTCACTGACATTATGGGCATCATCCAGCAATGTCCTGTTCTCCTCAGGAACAACACCTGGACTCCCACTGTGAGACAGTGCAGCCCTATGAAGAGAACCACATCATTTGACACACTGACAAAATGACCACTTCACTTTTTTGTCTGCCTCAGTTTACAGAAGTCCTGCACTAAACACATATACATAATGAACATATCTGACCGGTTTTCAAATTCTCTTGGGCCTCTTGGGGGGTGGG